GGATATGAAAACATAGATGAACATGTTATCATATTTGGCTGTCATGCAAAAAGGCTTTTAAAAAATGCATACAAAGATATACACCAATCCAGAAGTTTTCTATGTTTGCCTCAATGGATCCCAAAAGAATTTAACATCTTGAGAGAATATAATCCTTACTGGGAAGCCATGTCTGAGTTTAGAACAGAAAACAGAGCATATTGAATTTTACCTGCAATTTAATAAATGTGAGGTTTTCCGTAAAACAAAGAAATGTTAAGGAAGTAGCATTGCAGTAAACATCAGATGTGCTAGCCTAATTACATCCTTTCTAATAAATAAATTTATTCTCTATTACCTTGAATCGTTTTTAGAAGTGAGAGAATATCTCAGGCTTTTGTTTTAGTTAATGTACAGCAAATTGGCCCTTTCTCCTATTAACTCACAGGAAAAAAATGGGTTTCAGTGTTAATGTTAATTAATATAATGTTAATTACAAATTGTACATGCAAGTTATGTTCACCGAAATGTATTAGTCAATCCCCTTTGAGCTCTTTTATTCCAACAGATATGTAAATCAAGACATAATTTCCACTTTAAGGAGCCCTTTTGTTTTCCTTTTCAGACAACACCCACCAATACAAACTTGTGCTGTTTCCTAAAACCCTTCCTGTCAATTCCCCTCCATTCATTATACGGGGCAAAAATGTGGCTAAACATTCTCTCCTTACTAGTAGTTCTCAAAGGTAATTTTATCCCAGTGTTGAGTTTATTTTCATGTTCTGCTCTTATATGAAAGAAATATCATTTAAAAAAAACCCTCTATTTTTTAGGAGTCCAATCTCAAGTCCAGTTGATGGAGTCTGGAGGGGATGTGAGAAGACCTGGAGAGTCCCTCCGTATCTCCTGCCAAGGCTCTGGATTCACCTTCAGCAGCTTCAACATGAACTGGGTGAGACATGCTCCTGGAAAACCTATGGAATGGGTTGGAGGCATCTATACTGATTCCAGTGGAATCTACTCATACAAAATGAAGGGCCGCTTCACCATCTCCAGGGACAATGCCAAAAGCCAGCTGTATCTGCAAATGAACAACCTCAAAGCTGAAGACACGGCAGTCTATTACTGTACACCCAGTGAGAGGAAGTGAATCTGAAGCCAAACAAGAACCTTCCTTTCCTCTTCAACTTGTCTAAGACTTCTCAAATCCTGGATTTGACAAGGAGGTTTCACCACTTTCTGGTGTGAATTTCAGGATGTTTTGTTCTAGGTATCAAAAAGTTTGCTGTAACAAAATGAAAAATTCCAACTCCATCTTCCCTGTTTACCCATTGATTTGGCTTCACTGGAATGGAATGTAGTCCTCTACTGTCATGGCGGAAGGATGGAAATGAAACTTTAGGATATTTCTAAATATCCAAACATGCATTGAGGAAATATTTGTTCTGAACGAATCTCCTTGGAAAATTAAGATTTGCCCTCTCCTCACTTTTGAACCTAAAGCACAATGTTGTCATAAAATTCAACTATGCACCAAAAGGGAACATGAATGATTGTAAATTATCTTATTTTGGAAGTGTTGGACAGGACCTTGGAGGTCTTCTAGTCCAACCCCTGCTCAAGCAGGAGACTCTATACCATTTCAGACAAGTGGTTTTTTAAACCTCTTCTTAAAAACTCCAGTGTTGGAGTACACACAACATCTGGAGGGAAATCATTCCACTGATTAATTGTTCTCACATCCTGAAATTTCTCCTAACTTCTAGGTTGCTTCTCTCCTGGATTAGTTTCATCCATTGTTTCTTCTTCTGCCTTCAGCTGCTTTGGAAAATAGGTTAACCCCTTCTTCTATGTGGCAAAAAATGTTTTGCTTTTTGGGGTTTTGTTTTTTTTAATTACCATAATAGTTCACTGAAGAAAATTTCACTTCTCTGGATCCTGTAACACTCCCTGATGTATCATTGGTGCTTGACACCACAGAATTTTTGTTTGTTTGTTTGTTGCTGTTATTTCCATCATAATTCACTGAGTCTCAAGAAAAATTGCCATTTCAGGAGGGTACGATACTCAAAGGGAAGCTGAGAATTTGTATAAAATAAATGGATTAAAATTGTATAAAATAAAATAATTTATCAGTTTATTAATTCACTGAAAAGTTATCAAGAACATCCCACATCTCAGTGAGCTACAATCTTCACAATGAAACTGATAATCTTTATAAAATGGCGAATTGTTGGTTTTTGTCACCAGAGAAATTTTTTACATATTTCAAATGTTTTTTGGAAATAAAAACAAAATGAAGGGATTAGATTATCATATTCAGTGAGCATATAAAACAGTTAAAACATTATAGATGTTATACCAATCCAGATGATTTCAAAGTTTCTCTCAATGGAACTCAAAAGAACTTAACTTTCTGAGACCGAATAATCCTTACTGGGAAGCCAAGTCTGGGTTTACACCACATAACCTAAAGAAACCAAAATATTTTGGATAATACATAGATAATTATTTATCATTCTGTTTGAACTGAGAGATTGTATTTGGTCACAATATGACTTAAATTTCTGAGTTGACTGGATACAACTAGTCTAGAATTCAAAGTGTTCCTTGAAGCTTAACTGCCATTTAATGTCCCAAAGGTATTATTTTTTCTTTTTTCAGAAGGCAACTGGACTTTCTCATCTTTCTTTTGAAGACATTTCACTTCTCATCCAAGAAGCTTCTTCAGCTCTGACTAGATGGTAGCGAGTGGAAGGATTTATATTGCTTGCAGGAAAATGTTCATTTGTATTCCTCTAGAGCAGAGTTAACCAACCTTTCTGGGTTGACAGCCTGGAGGGAAAGGAAGGACCAGAGAAATGAGTGTGTCCTCGGGCATGCTCAAACAGTGCGTGTACAATGGCAGTGCCAGCATCCATGCACATGCACAAGTAGACCATGCACACTCCTGGCGGTGCTGCCTGCACACCCATGCAAGTGGGACGCTAGCACCTGCAAATGGGCTGCTAGTGACCGTGTGATGGTGGCGGTGGCGCTAGCACTCCCACACATGCACAAATGGGGCCATTAGTGCAAGCGGGAGTGCATGCACAAATGTGTGCACTCACCAGCCATTCCATGGCTCACTGGCCAACAGGCTTTGGCCCACTGTCTGGCCGCAGCCCACAAGTTAGAGACCCCTGCTTTTAGACAGTCATTGAAACCAGGGTCACTTGAGTAGTGCAAATGTGTGTGGAGCCTTCTGTCCTGTGTCCCTTCACTGTTGAAGACAGGCACATGCTGTTGGGGATGAGTCTGTGTTGTCTGCCTCTCAAACTGAAGCGCAAATGGTTCCTGTAGTCTGCAATGTTTTCTGGAAATCCAATTCATACTCTCTCACCCTTCAAAGGGTTTTCATCCCAAAGTACATCGCTAAATGTCTATGGAGGTTCTCAGTTCTATGGAGGTTCTCAGTCCAAACACAAGAAAGTCCAGTTGCCTCTTAAAAAAAAGAAAAAGGACCTTTGGAACAACCATACCTGGATGACAGAGAACCTCCATAGATATTTGCCATTTAATGTATTTTCAATGTCCCATAAAATAAACAAAAGTTAAGGAAGCAGTTTTGTAGCAAAGATTCTAACTCTGATCTTCTAGCCTTTTTATATGATCTATAATAAGTAACTTTATTCTATATTACCTTGAATCATTTTGAGAAAGGCTGAATATTTTCAAGCTTTTCTTTTAGTTAATGTACAACAAACTGGCTTTTCTCCTATTAACCTGTAAGGGGAAAAAAAAAGTTCCTAAGCCTTTTCTTAAGACTGGAATGTTAATTGCAAAATGTACATGAAAGTTACGTTCACTGAAATATATTAGTCAATGCCCTGAGGGGCTCTTTTATCACAGCAGATATGTAAATTGAGACACAATTTCCCCTTTAAAGAGTCCCATGGTTTCCTTTTTCAAACAACATCCCCCCAACATAAACCTTGTGCTATTTCCTGAAATCTCTCCTGTCACTTCCCTCTATTCATTACAGAGCAAAAATGTGGTTAAACCTTGTCTCTTTACTAGTAGTCCTCAAAGGTAATTATTTCCCCTATGTCAAGTTTATTTTCATGTTCTGCTCTTGTATGCGGGAAATCTCATTTAAAAAAATTATTTTTAGGAGTCCAGTCTCAAGTCCAGTTGGTGGAGTCTGGAGGGGATGTGAGAAGGCCTGGAGAGTCCCTCCGTCTCTCCTGCCAAGCCTCTGGATTCACCTTCAGCAGCTATGACATGCACTGGGTGAGACAGGCTCCAGGGAAAGGCCTGGAATGGGTTGCACTCATCTATCATGATTCCAGTGGAAAGTTCTACTCAGACAAAGTGAAGGGACGGTTCACCATCTCCAGGGACAATGCCAAAAACCAGCTGTATCTGCAAATGAGCAGCCTCAAAGCTGAAGACACGGCCGTCTATTACTGTACGAGAGACACAGTGAGAGGAAGTGAATCTGAAGCCAAACAAGAACCTTCTTTTCTTCGGAGGAGTTCTTCAACTTTACTGAGTCCCAGATCCTTATTAGTCAATGAGGATTGACTTTTGTTATTTCCATCATAATTCACTGAGTCTCAAGAAAATTTGCCATCTCAGGAGAGTACAATACTCAGACTCTTGATTAGCCAATTAAGATTGATCACCTTTGAATGAGAACCTCAGGACTTTTTTGTTCTAGGTATCAGAGAGTTTGCTGGAAGAAAATGTAAGGTAATGAAAATGGTTTGAAAATTCAAGTTCCATCTTCCCTGTTTACAAGGTGATTTATGTTCAGGAAAAAACAAAAACATGGAATGGAATATTGTCCTTTAGCCTCATGGCAGTAGTCTGGAAATGAAACTTCAGGTTAAACCTTCTCAACATCCAAACTGCCATTCACCTATTGAGGAAACATCTGGATCAAAAGAATTTCCTTGCAGAATAAGGAACATGCTTCACCTCCTCAATTTTTGACACTAGGGGAAAATGTTGCTACATGAAATCCATTTTCTATGCATCTGGTGGGGGTGGGGAAGGGAATAAAACAAATGTCATTAGACATTGTCTCATTGTGGATACGTGATATTTTTTCTTCTTTTTGTATTAATTCACTGAAAAGTTCTCAATAACTTTTTGTTTGTTTGTTTGTTATGTCCTTAATAATTTCCTGAAAATATTTCAAGAAAATTTTTCATGTCAGGAGAATACAATGCTCACCAGGAAGCTGCAAAATTTTATAAAATAATGTAGCATTGTTGTTTGTTAGCGTAGCAGAAAACTGTCTGGGCGTTTCAAACCTCTGCTAGAAATTGTAATAATTCAATGAAAAGTTTTGAAGAAAAATTTATATTGCAGGAGACTTCAATATGAAACTGAGAAATTTTATTAAAAGATGGATAACAAAGTTATCTAGGTATTTCATACATATAATTGAATGTTTTTTAAAAAAACTAACAACCTGGTGCTTAGTAAACAGCATGTTGTCTGGGGTCACATTTCACAACAATCAATAATAGTCAATTTCTATCATATCGTACTCTACATAACAGTTTTCCTTGATTTTCTCTTCTTCCCATATTATTCTCTTTTGCAAACATTAGGTTAATACAGTTCTTAATATTTTCGTAACAAAGAGGTTAAATATAAACATTTTTCTAACATTTATCCAATTAGTAATAGCATCAATATAAAAACCTCTTTTCTAGTTAGTCCTCTTGGTTGCGTTATATGTCCTGTTTTCAACATTCTCATTTAGACTTTTTCCCCACAAAACTGAAGTTGTTTTTATCTGTTAAGATTTTCTCAAAATTAATTTACGGTTAAATATCTAAGCTGTTTCCCTCAAAATAATTCTCCCAACAATTACATAAATAAATAAATAAATAAATAAATAAATAAATAAATAAATAAATAAATAAATAAATACAATACAATACAATACAATACAATACAATACAATACAATACAATACTACTCAGAATTAGAAAGAAGAGAAAGAAAAACATATCTCTCTCCAACTAAAATTCATTTATATCCCCCATTTTTTTTCATTTTAACCCTATTCCATTCGATATTTACTAATTAAGTAATCCATGTTATATTTTAAACATATGCCAACAAATACTTAATCTTTAAAAATTGCATCTGATAAGACAGTTACATTTCTCATATCATTAAAAAAATATCTTTTAACTCTATTCCATTCAATAGTCACTGGTTGAGCAGACCATATTATATTTTAATCATATTCAAACAAATGCTTAAACTTTAAAAATTGCTTCTGATAGGTCCAATCTTCTAATCCCTTGGGTCTGATTTTGGTCTTTTTCTTTCGCCAAATGGCTTTTCTCATCCATCTATTCCACTTAGTTAAAAAGTCTTGCCATTTTCTTGTGGATGTTGTTACGGATGGGAGAGACAAATCAGGTAAGATGTTGATTTCTTTTATCTTTTTTTGTCTCTCAAGTTGTAGATTTTTTTAGTATCTCTGTAATCCATTTTGTCAGGCTTTTCTTCTTATCTTCAGCTTTCTTTTGTGATTCTGGGGTGTGGACTATCTCTTCCAGTTCCAGTGCTTCAGTCACTTCTTGTATGTTTTCCTCCATTCTTTCATTTTCTGAAAATTCTTATGTTGTGAGGTTAATGTAAAGATATGTCCATTTATGTCATCAAAATTGTTTTTAATTTCATTGTGACTTAGAGCAGGGCTTTTCAACCAGTGGTACAGGTACCACCTGTGGTACATTGGCACCTGGCAGGTGGTATGCGACCATCCTAGAAAAGTGGTAGCGGGGGAGGGGAATGAGCTGATCCAGTGGCAGCACCGCACAAGACTGAGCGAGAGATGGCTGGAGCTGCAGGGCTGTCAGGGCTCAGCGGAAGCACCAGGATCAGTGCTGCTTTCCAGCTGATCGGCGCCTCTACGGGGCTGTCAGGGCTCAATGGAAGCACCAGGATCAGCACCAGGCTCCAGCTGGAGCTCGGCACTGATCCTGGTGCTTCTGCTGAGCCCAGAAGAAGTGCCGATCAGCTGGAATGTTGCAGCATCTCCAGGGTCTTGTGATTTACATTCGGATGCTTGGCAACTGATTCATATTTATGACGGTCACACTGCCCCAGGGTCATGTGAAGTGACTAAAACCTGCTGCAACCACCTAGAAGATGGGTGGAATAAAAAACAAAGACCCCCCACCCCACCCCCGCTGCCAATCCCCAACAGAAATGCTCACAACAATGAAAACCTTGGACAGGAGGAAGAGCGCCGCCGGGCAGGCAGACAGGTGTCTTGCTCGGCTGTGGCTTGGGGGGCACTTTTTTCAGTGCTATTGTAACTTTGAACGGTCATTAAGTGAACTGTTGTAAGTCGAGGACTACCTATACTTTATCACTTTTTTTCCTTTTGGGGGGGGTCATCACGTTTTTGACACCTTGCTAGGCGACTGGTGGTACTCAGGTATTGCCACATCCTAAAAGTGGTACAATGGGTGAAAAGGTTGAAAAACCTTGATCTAGGTATTTCAGATCTTTTTCTGGAAATGGAAACCACATGAAAGGATTATATTATCACACTCAGTGAACATATAAAACAGTTAAAACATTATAAATACTAATATATACACCAAACGAGAAGATTTCAAAGTTTTCCTCAATGGAACTCAAAATAACTTAACTTCCTGAGAGAGTATAATTCTTACCGGGAAGCCATGCCTGGGTTTACACCAGATAACCCAAAGCAACCAAAATATTTTGGATAATACAAAGATAATTATTTTTCATTCTGTTTCAGTTGAGTGACTGTATTTGGCCACATTATGAATTAAGGTCATTCTTTTTTCAAATAAGAGGGTTCATTTGGTGTATTTTTCAGGCTTTTCTTTTATTTAATACACAATAAAATTGCCCTTTCGCCTATTAACTCACAGAGAAATAAATGGGTCCAATCCTTTTCTTAGCACTGCAATGTTAATTACAAAATGCAGATGCAAGTGATGTTCAAAGAAGTGTGTTTGTCAAAGCACTGAGGGGCTCTTTTATCCCAATAAATATGCAAATCAAGACACCATTTCCTCTTTAAAGGAGCCCCATAGTTTCCCTTTTCAGACAACTCCCACCAAGGTAAACCTTGTGCTATTTCCAGAATCCTCTCTTGACAATTCCCTCCACTCATTAGAGTTAGCAAAATGTGGCGAAACATTCTCTTCATACTACTAGTCCTCAAAGGTAATTATTTCCCCCATATAGTTCCATGTTCTGCTCCCCTATGCAGGTGATCTCATTTTTTAAAAAAATAACCTTTTCTTCTTAGGAGTGCAGTCTCAAGGACAGTTGGTGGAATCTGGAGGGGATGTGAGAAGACCTGGAGAGTCCCTCCGTCTCTCCTGCCAAGGTTCTGGGTACAACTTTGGTGGCTACAGCATGAGCTGGGTGAGACAGGCTCCAGGGAAAGGACTGGAATGGGTTGCACGCATCTATTATGATTCCAGTGGAAAGTTCTACTCAGACAAAGTGAAGGGATGCTTCACGGTCTCCAGAGACAATGCCAAAAGCCAGCTGTATCTGCAGATGAACACACTCAAAGCAGAGGACACAGCAGTCTATTATTGTGCGAGAGACACACTGAGAGGAAGTGAATCTGAAGCCAGACAAGAACCTTCCTTTCTTCAGAGCAGCTCTTCAACTTGACTGGATTACTCAATGAGGATTGATCTCTGTCTAGAGAGAACTTCAGGATGTTTTATTCTGGGTATCAGAGAGTTTGCTGTAAGAAAATATAGGATGACCAAAATGGCTTAAAAATTCCTGTTTCATCTTCCCTGTTTACAAGGTGATCTATCTTGAGAAAAAAAAAACATAGAATGGAATATTGTCCTTTAATATCATAGCAGAAGTCTGGAAATGAATCTTCAGGGTGAACCTTCTAAATATCCAAACTGCCATTCACATATGGAAGAAACACCTGCACTAAAACAAAATCCTTGGAGAATTAGGAATATGCTTCCCCTCCTCATTTTGGACACTGGGGGGCAATGTTGCTACATGAAATCTCATTGTTTGTACAGGGGGGAGGTATGGAGTAAAACAACTGTAATTAGATATTTTTGAGGCCAGATTTGTTTTTATTTTATTTCTGTAATAATTCTCTGAAAATATCTCAAGAAAATTTCACATCTCAGGATGGCACAGTGTGCACTGGGAAGCTGAGAGTTTTCGTCAAACAATTTATTGTTGGTTTTGTCACCAGAGAAACTGGCTAAACATTTCAAACCTTTGCAGAAAATGAAAACAAAATTACGGGATTATTTTATCATATTCACTGCACATTTAAACAGTTAAAACATTATGTAGGTGAATACATACACCAATCCAGAAGATTTTAAAGTTTCTCTCAATGGATCTTAAAAGAATTTAATTTCTCAAGACACCAAAATCCTTACTGGAAAGCCCTATCTGGTTTTATGACAGATAAGCTAAAGCAAAGAAAATACATATATTTTGGATAATACAAAGATAATTATTTATCATTCTTTTTTCAAATAAGAGGGTTCATTTGGTATATTTTTCAGGCTTTTCTTTTATCTAATACACAATAAAATTTCCCTTTCGCCTATTAACTCACAGAGAAATAAATGGGTCCCAATCCTTTTCTTAGCACTGCAATGTTAATTACAAAATGCACATGCAAGTGATGTTCAAAGAAGTGTGTTTGTCAAAGCACTGAGGGGCTCTTTTATCCCAATAAATATGTAAATCAAGACACCATTTCCCCTTTAAAGGAGCCCCATGGTTATCCTTTACGGACAACTCCCACCAACGTAAATAAAACCTGGTGCTATTTCCCGAATCCTCTCTTGACAATTCCCTCCACTCATTAGAGTGAGCAAAATGTGGCGAAACATTCTCTTCATACTACTAGTCCTCAAAGGTAATTATTTCCCCCATATAGTTTCATGTTCATCTCCTGTATGCAGGTGATCTCATTTTAAAAAAAAATCCTTTTCTTCTTAGGAGTGCAGTCTCAAGGACAGTTGGTGGAATCTGGAGGAGATGTGAGAAGACCTGAAGAGTCCCTCCATCTCTCCTGCCAAGGTTCTGGATACAACTTTGGTGGCTACAGCATGGACTGGGTGAGACAGGCTCCAGGGAAAGGACTGGAATGGATTGCAGGCATCTATCCTGATTCCAGTGGAAAGTTCTACTCAGACAAAGTGAAGGGACGCTTCACCGTCTCCAGGGACAATGCCAAAAGCCAGCTGTATCTGCAGATGAACAGCCTCAAAGCTGAAGACATGGCAGTCTATTACTGTACGAGACACACACTGAGAGAAGTGAATCTGAAGCCAGACAAGAACCTTCCTTTCTTCAGAGCAGCTCTTCAACTTCACTGGATTAGTCAATGAGGATTGATCAATGTCTAGGGAGAACTTCAGAATATTTTATTCTGGGTATCAGAGAGTTTGTTGTAAGAAAATATAGGATGATGAAAATGGCTTAACATTCCTATTTCATCTTCCCTGTTTACAAGGTGATCTATCTTGAGGGGAAAAAATACAAGGAATGGAATATTGTCCTTTAATATCACAGCAGAGGTCTGGAAATTAGTCCCATGGTGAATCTCCTAAATATCCAAACTGCCATTCACATATGGAGGAAACACCTGCACTAAAACAAAATCCTTGTAGAATTAGGAATATGCTTCCCCTCCTCATTTTTGACACTGGGGGGCAATGTTGCTACATGAAATCCCATTGTGTGTGCAGGGGTGAGGTAGGAGTAAAACAACTGTAATTAGATATTTTGGAGGCCAGTTACATTTTTATTTTATTTCTGTAATAATTCTCTGAAAATATCTCAAGAAAATCCCACATCTCAGGATGGTACAGTGTGCACTGGGAAGCTGAGAATTTTCATCAATTAATTTATTGTTGGGCTTTGTCACCAGAGAAACTGTCTAAACATTTCAAACCTTTGCTGAAAATGAAAACAAAATGAAGGATTTATATTATCATATTCATTGAACATTTAAACAGTTAAAACATTATGGGGGCAAATACATACACCGACCCAGAAGATTTTAAAGTTTTCTTTAATGGATCTCAAAAGAATTTAATTTCTCAAGGCACCAAAGTCCTTGCTGGGAAGCCCTATCTGGCTTTATGACAGATAACCTAGAGCAAACAAAATGTTTTGGATAATACAAAGAGAATTATTTATCATTTTGTTTCAAATAAGAGGGTGTATTTGGTCACAATGTGACTCAAATTTGATTTTGTGAGTTGAGTGGTCCAACTATTCTAGTGACACAATGTTCCTTGATGTTTAGCTGCCATTTATTTTTCATAAAACAAAGAAAGGTTCAGGAGTAGTAAAGATTGTAAGTAAAGATTCTAAGTCTGATGTTCTAGCCTTTTTATATGTTCTCTAATAAGTAAATTAGTTTCATCTCTATTACCTTGAATCATTTTGAGAAGGGCTGAACTTTTTCAGTCTTTTCTGTTAGTTAATGTGCAGCAAACTGCCCCTTTTTCCTATTAACTCACAAAAAAAATATGGTCCCAACCTTTTCTTAGGACTGGAATTTTAATTGAAAAATGCACATGGAAGTGACGTTTACAGAAGTGTGTTTGTCAATGCCCTGAGGGGCTCTTATATCCCAACAGATATGTAAACAGATATGTAAAGGCACAATTTCCCCTTTAAAGGAGCCCCATAATTTCCCTTTTCAGACAACACCCAGAATCATAAACCTTGTGATATTTCATGAATCCTCTCCTGTCCCTTTTCCATTCATTAGAACCATCAAAAATGTGGCTAAACCTTGTGTCCTTACTAGTAGTCCTCAAAGGTAATGATTTCCACTATATCTTTTATTTCCATGTTCTGCTCCTGTATGCAGGAGATCTCATTAAAAAAACAAATTCTTTTTAGGTGTGCAGTCTCAAGTCCAGTTGGTGGAGTCTGGAGGAGATCTGCGAAGACCTGGAGGGTCCCTCCGTCTCTCCTGCCAAGCCTCTGGATTCCCTTTCAGCAGCTATAACATGGGCTGGATGAGACAGTTTCCAGGGAATGGACTGGAATGGATTACATACATGGGTACATCTAGCACTTACTACTCAGACAAAGTGAAGGGACGCTTCACCATCTCCAGGGATGATGCCAAAAGCCAGCTGTATCTGCAAATGAACAGTCTTAAAGCTGAAGACACGGCAGTCTATTACTGTACAAGAGGCACAGTGAGAGTAAGTGAATCTGAAGCCAAACAAGAACCTTCCTTTCTTCAGAGCAGCTCTTCAACTTGACTGAGTCCCAGATCCTGGATTAGTCAATGAAGATTGATTGATTTCTAATGAGAACTTCAGGATGTTTTATTCTGGGTTTCAAAAAGTGTGTTGTAAGAAAAAAAAAATCCAAGTACCCTGTCCCTATTTACAAGGTGATTTGGTTTCACTGGAACGGAATGTAGTCTTTTAGTATCATGGTGGAAGAATGGAAATGGAACTTTAGGATAATCCTAAATATTCAAACTGCCAAACACACATTGGGAAAATATGTGCTCTGAATGAAACTCTTTGGAAAATGAGGTTGATGTGTCCTCTCCTCAGTTTTGATTCTGGAGGCAATGTTGTCTCAAAATCCAATTGTCTATGCATCTGGAAGAGGTATTTTCGGGAATAAAATATGTATAATTGTATATTTTCTTATTTTGTCTAGTCCATCCCCCTGCTCAAGCAGCAGACCTTATACCATTCCAGACAAATGGTTGTCCAGTCTCTTCTTAAAAAAGGAGGAGGAGGGGGGAGGGGGAGGATGAGGAGGATAACAGAGTTGGAAGGGACCTTGGAAATCTTCTAGTCCAACCCCCCGTTCAAGCAGGAGACCCTATTCCATTTCACACAAAGGGTTGTCCAATCACACAGTGAGAGGAAGTGAATCTGAAGCCAAACAAGAACCTTCCTTTCTTCAGAGCAGTTCTTCAACTTGACAGAGCCACAGACCATGGATTAGTCAATGAGGATTGATCAATGTCTAGTGAGAACTTCAGGATGTTTTGTTCTGGGTATCAGACAGTTTTCTGTAAGAAAATGTAAGATGATGAAAATGGCTTGAAAATTCCAGTTTCATCTTTATAAGGTGATCTATCTTCAGAAAAAAAAGAATTGGAATGGAATATTGACCTTTAGAATCATGGCAGAAAGCCTGGAAATGAAACTTCAGAGTAAACCCTCTACACATCCAAACTGCAATTCATATATTGATGAAACATCTGGGCCAAAAGAATCTCCTTGGAGAATTAAGAATAGGCTTCTCCTCCAAATTTTTGACACTGGGGGGCAATGTTGCTACATGAAATCCCATTTTCTATGCACCTGGTGGTGGTGGGGAAGAGAATAAAACAAATGTCATTATATAGTGTCTCATTCTGGAGGCCAGATACCTTTTTTATTTTATTTCTGTAAATAAAAGTTCTCAAGAAAATTTTACAACACAGAAGACTTCAATATGAAACTGAGAAATGTTATTAAAAACAGAGTTTGGGTTTTCGATCCCAGAGAAACTTATCTAGGTATTTCAAATCTTTTCTGGAAATGGAAAGCACATGAAAGATTATATTATAACACTCAGTGAACATATAAAACACTTAAAACATTATAGATACTAATATATACACCAAACAAGAAGATTTC